GTGGTTTTACTCCCTTGAGCAATGAGGTTTCCACGTAAAGTTGTGTGTACAATCTTTACTTTCAGCAGTTATTTACTTTTTTGTGACTATAAATCGTACTGAGGACCTGATCCTATCGTAGCTAGTGGACGCATACATTCTAACACAGCGGAAGCATACCAGAATCTTACTGCTTGCATGAATAATAGATAACCAATATTGTTTATGCTAGAACACACAAACTTACTGAAATTTAATTCAAGAATTACCTCTTGAAGCGTGAACAGATACCTTCAAGTGAATCCCCAAGATAGACAAACTTTCAAGCGAATCTACAAGATAGACAATAGCTATGGTCTTCTACAGTGATCCCAAGTTCACATTTGAACTCTCTCAATACTTGGGTGGGCAAGTATGAATAGAAACCTTCAATCTCATTCTAGGTTAGGAGAATCCCTACTTATAGAGATTTCTTTCCAATCCAAAAAGGAGAAGAAACCCCAGTTTTCCTTGGACACAAGAAAAACCACACATTGGTTTTATTGAACCAAAAACTAACGCTTTCTTCTTCCTTTTCCTTAGAAATAAAATTCTGAGTTCTAGTTAAATATGGGCACTGTAGGGACCACATAATTAATTACTGAGGCTTCCTATTATGGAAATAATTCCAAATAATTAATTTGAATTATTCTTACCATAATAAATTACAAATCATTCCACTAGAAATTCGTAATTGCACTCCTCTATTTATATTTTGTAATTCCCCATTAAACACTTATGTAATTCCCCATGTTAAGATTACAGATACTAATCAATAAATTAAGTTACTGACGAATTTAATTCAATGATTAATTTTCTTTATAGCACTACTTAACTTATTTCATGTGTTGGATTCATAAATCCAGTTACAAGGTTTGACACGATGAAAACTTATAAGTTTCTCAAAAAGGCATATCAATCAATCTCTATAACGAGACATGGATTCCATCAACTAACTTAATATTTCACCAATATATATTAATATCATCCAATCTACCAGGCATATTGACCCATCTCAGAATCTCACCTTTTAATAAATCAAAACGATAATTAATATATACAGATCATAATAGTTATATCAGAATTGAGAATATAAGTACATTTAATAGTTTAGAGAATATGTTTTTGTCGGTCAGTCTAAAATAACTATCTCTACTCGATCTTGTTCAATACATACAAAATGCACTAATACAAGAGGTTGGAAATATACCGTTCTCATAATCAAGATAAATTACATATAATCTTGTGCTACAATCGTACCGATGACATGTCCAATTTTCATCCTAGATTGTGAACAAAAAACTTTATACTTATAAGAACCCATGATTTAATCATATGTGTATAAGCTAAAACTATACACACTAAGGGTGTGTTTGGTATGAAGGAAAATGTTTTCATGGAAAACAAGTTGATTTTTGACTTATTTTTTCATGTTTGGTTGGTGAGTAGAAAATATTTTTCGGAAAAGATTTTGTGTTTAATTTATGAATGAAAAATATTTTTGAGAAATATCTTTTATTTTTACTAGAGTAGAAAATATTTTTTAAAAACAAACTTAAATTTTTTTTGGGGGCTGGGGGATGGGGTT